TGTTTCATTCCTGTGCTTCATTTCAATACTTGCCCTCAAATGTCTGCTTCCATTTGACTATAGAAATCCTTTCCCAGTTCCAGCAGTGGACTTCATCATTCTTCTCTGGGCTGTTGGCATGATTACCACGGAAGTGAAGCAATATCGCTTGTCACGATCATTTATGTCATACGTGAGTGCCAACTATTTAGATTTCATCTTCCTGTCAGTTTTGAGTGTCTCCTACATTCTACAGTTTATTGCCTTGTGCTATACCATATACAAGGACTGGAGTATCACCAATGAGGAGTACAACACCAGTGAACAATGGATAATCATTATATTAATGGCGGCTGACATCATTTTTGCTCTCAACACCCTCATTATATTTGGACGTCTGTTGACATATTTTCAAGTCAGTCCTCTGCTGGGTCCGTTGCAGCTATCATTATTCAGAATGGCAACAGATGTGCTTCTGGTCTTAGTTATACTAGGTAAGGATCTGTTATTTTTCTTGTCACGATATGCAAGAGATAATTAAATTAAATTAACTTCAGCATTTTTTATGAACTGGGTCAGGGTCTTTCTATAGCCTCATAATTATGATTCATCATAGTTACTCACTGAGGATTCCACATAATTTTATGGTCCCAATAAGCTCCAGTGAAATTTCCCATCTGATCTTTGTAAGCACAGTACGTGGAACAGTAGAAGCAATGATGGGAGATAATGGTATTCTATTCGAAGGGCAAAACCGAGTCTCATTCGGTTCTTGCTTCAGATTGTACCCACTCAAAAACATCACTATTGAATCATAAGCATAGGATGGAAAAAATTGACAACATTGAAAAATGGTATATACAATATATCAATGTATTGAATACACATACTAATTTTACTAGACTTATAGGCCGACACACTGTGATGCATTCATTTACATTGTTGCAAACCAGTATGCATATGTCTGATAAAAAAAAAAATCTGCTGTGAAAATGCTGCCCATAAGTTATTTATTTATTATTTTGGACACATACAGTATTACTCTATTATCATAATTGTGCATGTACTTATGTAAATTATTAAAGGTGTTTCCACAAGCAAAATAAGTTATAAGTATACATGTAAATATGCAATTCTGATGGAGATGCACTTCTAGAGCAAATACAGTGTATGTATATTTAATATCAGCAGCAGTGAACAACATGTTATTATTTTAAGTTTGGATGAGATTCATGAGAACGAATATTCATGGCACATGCATTAGCATTCTCACAAGATGTAAACAACTTACTATGACCTCCAGCATTCTTGTGCATTAGGCAGTTATCAAAATTTTATTTATTAATTATTTCTAGGTATTGTTATGTTTGCATTTGCTGCAAGTATGACTAAAGTATACCTAGTTGGCTACTACAGTGTACCACCAAACTTGAATGCTACAGAAAGAGAAAAATTGATGAATCCTGATATAGAGGGCGTGCCACCTCTCATACCTGATACAGTATCAAAGTAGGTGTTTCATCTTGGTCCTGTTATGTTCATTGTACATCCATATTTGAACAAAATATTTACAGAAATAACAGCGATCTACTTCTTACATGGCAGAAATGTTTGATTTTGATGTATTTTTAGCTTCATATTAGCCACCATTTGGCCATCTGTCACGTATCCAATGCATGTGACTTTGTGTGAGATGATGTATGTAAGTTTGAACAAGATTGAAAAATGTGCAAATGCAACTCCCCCCTCCCCAAATGTGAGATTATTTGACTGGTGATATCTCATCTTGCCCACCTGTTATATGCTTACACATAAATGACAGTTGTGTCCCTTGATTTAATTGTTACTTGATGACTCAATGGTACTAATATAGCATCGACTCGCCTTTCTAGATTTTTAAATATGAAGGTTTAGACAGTGTTCATTGGTTTATTAATCAATTCATTACAAGATATACATAGTTTACTGATTTGATGCATTTTCCTTTCCTCATTGCAGTATGGGTTCATCTTTAGTAAGCTTGTATTGGTCTTTGTATGGTTTATTGGATGTTGAGGACTTTGAGAGTTCTTACTATGTATCAAATGCATTTGGTAAAATATTGCTTGGTTTATATCTCGTCTTGGCTGTTATTGTTCTACTCAACATGTTGATTGCAAAAATAAGCAACACATATGCAAATATTCAGGTATGTATCAATAAACGGACCTTGTGCACAAAGAGTGGGGGGAAAATGACATCAGAAGGTGATGTACTGCCCTCAACCAATTCTTTGATGCCTAGGTTGGTATTTGTTTTTACTGGTTGGTTGGGAACAAGAGCCACAAGACTTGTTTTTCCCCTCAAATAGTGTTCTACTCTCTATTGTCATTATGACCACTGTTCTCCTGACCTATGTCAGAACAGTAGACACGGTGATGGGAGAAAATGAAGATCACAACGGCTATTGGCATCTATTACCAGAAGAGTTGTGTTGTACAGTGGGTGGTATGAGACCTCAAAACATGATGCAACATTTTTGTGTAATAGAGGTGGATACACTCTTATTGATCCATTGATAATTGTTTAATTTACCGGTAAATTAATAATTTTCAAATTACATATGACTGTGTCAATCACCATGAATTGACATAGATGGAATCAGTCAATGATCTCGTGCTTCATTATTGGTTTGGCAAAATCCATTCAAACTTTGTACAAGGCTTGAATTTCACCCAGTTCAAGGGAAGTTTAATTCAAAAACGCATATAGGAAAAACAGAATATCTGTAATTTTTGAAGGGCATCAAGGTCAACTCTCTGGACATTGAGGCAATTGCATTTGATGCCTAAACACTTTGATGACGATAAAAATAAAACATAATGAATAATACCCCGGTATACAGGGAATGTGTCATGTAATAACACATTATTAATTCACTGTGTTAACCAGGAAAATTCACGTTTGGAGTGGAACTATGCCAGAGCCAATTTGATCATAGAGTACCAAGAATCCCAAGATCTACCAATACCATTCAATTTCATCCAGACTATTATAAGAGGTGTTGTCAATCTATTCAGTAGGTGCTGCAGGTGTCTCTGCAGAAAACAGGTGGGTATATTTTGTTATAAATACAATGTATCTGTTTAACTAAAGACAGGGACAGGCAACCTTATTAACCTTGAGTAAGTACCGGTATTTGCAGTATTTTATGTTTCAATTGTGTATTTTTTGTTTTAATGAATTCAATCTATCCAATTTTTTCAGGTAGTTGAAGTTGAAGCTGATAAGAATGTTGATCAAGCAGTGGAAACAAATCCCAAAATAGACATCAAAGAAACCGCTGAGGGCAGTACACCACATCCAGACACAGTCAGGTATGAATTATAACACGCCATTTACTGACATTATTTTTTCTCCACTCATTTCAGCTACCATTCGGTAGATAATATGTTAATCAAAATGTAGGATTAATGCAATGCCTAAAAATGCTTCCTACATATAGTGTACAAAAATCAACCGAAAAGTCATAACCCCATCATCTATTCTATACTTTGTACAAGTGCATTAGTATCCAAAATCATTTTAAATAAGAATACAATTGTGTTTTACACTTCACAGCAATACTAACGTGGGCAATAACAAAGTGGTGAAAGGGTCAGGTAATGGGTCTTCGTCAAAGAAGGACAAAGATAAGGAAAGAGACTTAGCTGAACAGTTAGAGCAGCATGAAGTGGACAGGATATTAGAATACATTAGATCAGATTATCTTAAAAAGCAAGAAGAAATGATGCGATACTCATTGAAGGTGTGTGTTTATTTATGTAATTAACCAGATCTATATAGTGGAGTTCGAACAAAATTGCCCTCTAACAGGACTGAATTTGTAGGGATTTTGAGTCACAATTATATTCTGAAAATCAAACTGGGTAAGCTTGGTGACTGCTGGGAAGATTAATTAATTAAATTAATATTAATACTTTTGTGATAGCTGATTTAATTCATTTTGACATCATTTCAAATTCTATATCTATAGTAAGTTGTTTTTAAGGATATTTCAATATATAATTTTTTGTTGCGTCATTGATGTGCTAAGGAATGACCATACCAAGTTCATCACATCAGTGACGAGTCATATTGACAAGGGGACACACTACACTGTACAGTACATTTTAGAATCATTTATTTATTTCTAGGAGCTACATAATAAGATGAGAGGAAAGATCAACACATTGGAAGAGCAAGTGACCCTTATGTGGAATGAAATAAATGCTTGGAAGACTGATACTGATGATAGAATGCAAAGTATGCACAAGAACTTTGCCGGTGCACAGGAAATTTTACGAAAATATTTGCGACAGAGATTTGTTGATAGGGTGTAAATGGTTGAATAATGGTTGACGTGATAGATTATTTTAAATTATGAAGTTTTGTACCATACATTAAAGATATTGGACGTAATATTGTGAAGATGGACAAGACGTTTGACCATTCTTTCAAACTAATATTTTGATGCAAAATTTTGATGTATTTTATATATTATAATTTATTGGTTATTTTTTGCCCCAAATCTGAATTTTTTATTGCATACAGAATTACAAAACTTTTTTTTCAATGTATAAAGATCGCTGTTGCCCAAAACAGTTTGTAGTGTATATACAAAGTTATCACTTCCAGAAAACATATTCATGTTTCTGATCATGGTGTGCAGTTTTGTCTACTGATTACTAATCAGCAAATTCTAAATGCATGTATTTACAATTCCAATGTATATTGGCTTTAGATAAATCATTTTCAGTGCTGAAACTGAAAACTTCTGGGTTGCCCACTGGTGGTGCCATCACTATATATACCCAGTCATTTCTTCCCTTGGTGTACCTTCGACATATTGCTAGTGCTGGGAGGATTTGCTTATAGTCAAGGTACAGTTATTGTGGACCATAATTCAAGTGAACAAAACTACTGAATGAACTATTAACATGGTTGCTACCCCCAGCACTTTTGTGACAAAAATATGAGCATGGGACACTGTTCACATATCAATAATATTTTGATCTGTGGTTCTCATTAAAAGTTTTTTTTGTTTTTTGTGATTTGCAATTTGAATGACTTGAGTGACTTAATGGAAAATTGTTTGCTTTTATGACAGATATGATATTTTTATTTTGCTAAAGGTCAAAAATGGAAATGTGTATTGCATTAACACAATATTTAAAGTACCTTATGACAATATTTAAAGAAGTTCGTCAAACGAAAATTTGCAATTATAAGTGCTTGTTTATAGAAAGGGGTTATGGCCTCCAAAAAATAGTGTAGATATTGATTCTCAGGACAAAGTGTGCCAGTATGTGTATATAAAGAAATATGTTAAAACGTGCATTCAAGATGCAGGTTAATTTGCTTGGGAATTTACTGCATCCCAAATTGTGCACTCATCAGGGTTCAAATAGTTATACATGGTCCTAATTCTTAGTTTTATTTACAGAGTTATATTACTTTGCAATATGTTTATTGTCGATATTTTTAAAAGCAACATTGTACAGCAATATATACCCATTATTAGTGCATGTTTTATACAAAGTGTATAGATGGTAATTTTACTAAAAATTAGTGTACCAATTCTGATGTATTACTAGTATAGATATACATTATTCATCATTGGGTAATCATATGCACAACAGATGTACATAATAGTATTAGCGTTGAAATATGATAAAGCACTTCACATCTAAAATTTAGCTTTTCACTAGCTTAAAACGCTGTGTGTCATTGCTTGCAGAAATCTCCCAGGGTTCCATAGTTCATTTGTTGGACCACCCCAGACAATATGTAATTTCAGTTCCTCATATATTCAATAAAAATAAATGATACAGCATGTAGGAGGAATTTGCATAATTTATTAACATTGAACAGTGTTGACTAAGTTCAAATTATACATGCAAAATAAATTAATAAACGCACAAAGGAGTGTGTATACAAGATACTGACCACAACTGTGGTATTTACAATCATAAACTCAGAACAATTTGTGATTACCAACATAGGTAGTTTTGTACAATGCGATGAATTAATGTTAATTTACATTAATACAAATGTCTTTTGTAGGCGCAGTCATTTTCTCATAATAATTCAGTTCAGACAACGTGACGTTTAATTAACCTTTTCTCATATACTGGTATATCGAAAACCCCAACAGCTCTGTCCTTTGAGGTTCTACATTCTGTGGTTGATGGCATGAGTTCAAACCCAACCTTTGGTCAACTGTTTCCAAAAACTCCAACTCCTCATTGACCCTGACTTCATGGTCTTAACTAAGGTACTAAATATATACAGTCTGCATATGAATAAAACTGTAGTGGTTTATTTTTATTAGATTTCAATATATGCTCCCATAGTAATCATATTTGAAAACGTACAATTAGCAGAAAGAACAATTAGTATCTGATTAATATTTTTAAATAATTCAAAACATGAAATAAAAAGATTTCTTTCTGGTCCTCAGAAGTTCTAAAAAATTGGAGTTACTCTGTCTGTACCTAAGAGCTGTATTAGTCACCATGCTTCTCGTTTAAAAGGCAAATCTTAAATCTATTTCATTAGCCTCCAATACATTTAGTTATTTTTAAGCTCTTTCATTTATCCAGTGTTTTGACAGGAATAAAGTTGCGAGCAGTCATTTTTAAGTGCAAACTGACCAGAAAAATTTTTTTTTTTGTACAGCCCAAATGCCCTTAAAATCTTAAATATAATTTCTGTAGTATAAAGTCTAGATACAATAGTTTCAGATTACACAGTAGTGTGAATATCATTTACATTTTAATAATCCAAAAATTAAACATAATGTAAAACTCAAAATGACTCAAAGTTGAAAACTGTCAGACCAATAACTATTTGACATTACTACTAGCGCTGAGTGCCTCAGGTTAGATATCAACCATGTTCCTAATGTGACCACTTTAAAACTGGCTGTACCAGCAATATACACTTCATGGATACAGGAGATACAGAAGGTCAATCTCAATATAGCCTGGCATTTAATGTTGAATTTACATTTATAAATATTTACACAAATCTATACCTTAACCTTTAGAATGCCAAAGTCAATTTTGTTACCATCCCCAAATAAAATCTACTTATCAGTAATTTTGATCCAAGATATGTTGATTATTGTTGAAATTGTTGATATGGAAATTTTATCTATTTGGTCCAAAATTAACAAATAGGTTGTAGAAAAATACTGTGGAATACTTTATTTTTGCTGGAATTAATTTTCGCTGAAAAGGCTTTTTGTCGTTTTGTGTAGAATTTATTTTCACTGATTTTTGACGAGTTTAATGTGAAATATAGGAAAAAAAGTATATTCGCTGGATTTTATTTTCACGGAATCATCCCTTCAGCGAAAATAAATTCCAAGCGAAAATAAAGTATTCTACAGTATGTGAAATAGGCACCAATATCTTAGTCAGGAAAATGTTAGCCGGGTTAAACTTCGTCCATGAGTTTGAAATGACTGTAGCAACCTTTCTGAGTGGTGTATGTCGAGGTGCTAGCAATGGTACAGCTGAAAAAATAGTACTTTTTATGTTTATTGGTCAAGCTACGTTTGTAATAGAAAAACAAGTGTACTCTCTAAATTGAAGACTCAATGTACTCTTTAGAATAATTAGTACCCTGGGCTGAAGAGCTCATGGCCAGCCAGGTTGTCAAAAACCTTCCTCAAATAAGCACCAGACAGGAAAGAAAAACTGACAAAATACATAAACCTCTAATTCAATGGTTCTTACAGTATAATACCAGGGGTGTGTTCAATAAAGAAAACATCTGTGAGCATCCTGAATGTTTTTCTATTGCAAAATCTGTTTTTTGTAGGTGTTTCAATGATGGCGTTGGAACAGATTTGAAAACATTTTGAGATGTTTTTTGCTACTAAACACACCCCTAGTTAATTATTATGGTAAATACAGACACACAGAAAAGAAAGCTATGATATGTATCATAATTCTATATTCAATCTACTGTAGGCACTCTTGGTGAAAATAAATTATTTTTTTTCAATAAATGTTATAAACCTCTTAGAAGAAATGCACTTCAGGCATAGTATTGCACATCCAGTTTATAAAAAAAAAAGGAAGTTCATAAATCTTTCAAGCCATTTGAAATACTGTATTTCATTTCTCATAAAAGTAATACAGACACAGTAACTTAAATAATTCTACTTCATCCCAACACATTCATATCATTATTATTAAAGATCATTTAGTAAATATTCAATAATGAATAGGGGGACTATGTTTTTATTATCATTCCCCAATGAATTTCATATGAAGGAGGATAATTCAAATATTTTGTAACATGGACAGGATTATATATATTTTAAAGGGTGGTTGTCGCACTGCAGACGTGCAACATTTGTGTTGATAAACATTGATTTTCCCACAATCCAATGGCTCTTCTAAATGGATATCACAAGTATAAGGTTTGACCTGGGCGCGACTTACACTAATTATCGCTGTTCACTCCTTCATCATCTAAACAAATACCCAATTAGAGCTTGATGACATCTCAGTTTGTACTCGTTGATCTGTGCAACAGTAAAAGTCGCCATCTTTGTTTATATGAGACCCACATATCTTGTGCATGCGTGGCGCAGCAACTACCGTACCACCCTTTAATGTCTCTTGTTATGCAAATAAAAATTCTGCTTTTTACAGCAAGTCTCAGAAGTATTTTGAGTGGCAAGTTAATAAACTTTTTCACTGACAACTTGGTTTTGGTTTATATACTCATCAGGCTAGTAAAACCTCATAAACTTGTTTAAAATATTGTACAGTCTTATTTTCCAGCAATTACTAGTACCGCAATTGATAGTGACACAAAAGTAAATGATTTTCAAATTGCAGACTTTCTGTTTGTACAATTTTGCTGAGACTTCGGAAAAATATTGACCATGTCTCAAATTAATATTAAAAAAAATTATTGGAACACCCACAAGGTTGTGAATATACATAACAAAAACCCAGAATCAAAAAGACTGTAAAACAATCTATTTTGATCATTCTTTAAAAAATATAGTAATGGTGTAACTTAGCCATCAATGAATGAAAATAAACTGCCATTTGCTTTAATAAATAGATCAATGTTAGGAGAAAGAGTCTACACATACTCAGCTGTTACTATAAACTGCCCAGAGATGAAACCAAACTACTGCCTCACAATCTGTAGTATGAATGAATTCTTGGCAGTAACATCATATGGCCACATCATGTGTTCACAGGGAGAGGCAATCTATGGTATGAATGGTGATCCCGAGTTTCTTGAACACCAACAACATCATGTGTCCACTGAGGGAGGTAATCTATAGGATGGATGGGGATCCTGCAGTTCTCAGCAACAGGATAACAGATCCAGCATGATAAATGCTAAAAACATACATAGCCAGTAAAATAGTATATGTTTTACCACCTTACCCACCTACCACAATAACAGAATGTTCTGTATACAGAGTCACAATATAATTCAAGTTCTAAAGAATAAACTACCCATCTGCCAGATCAGCTGTTAACCGCTTGTAAGTGTACTGTACCATATCTGGACTCCAGTTCATTTTGCGTCTTCGTACCAGCAACACAATCACAGTGATGCATAAACCGACTATAATCAGAGGCGACAAAATAAAAAACACCATGCTGTAGTTGAACTTGGCCTTGCCTTTTATTTCCTGCATTATGACAGAGATAATTGGTTAGTATCGAACATGAAACATGCATAGGCATTTATATAGCATACATGTACCTACCTAACCACCTAAATGTGTCAAACACATGAAAATGGTGATTTTTGAATGATCCATCATTCTCAGATATTTACACCATGGCAGTTAAAAGTCACATCAAATTTGCATACATTTGCATAATATTTGCATATTTGGATAATTAAACATATATTGTGAAAACTACAACACTCAAAAACACAATCAATACAATTCTTCCGTTGTTGATAATATTCATTGTAGACTGACAACCTAAAATAATTTAATCAAATGCCATAATAAGTTTGCCAAATGCTCAAGACTCTGTTATAGGCCACTAGGCCACCACTTGCCACTGTAGAGAAATTCTCTTGTATCGTATCGTATCATATCATATCAAGGTGATTGATGGGTAGAATGACATCATGCAATCATACTCGCTAGTCGCAGGAACCGCAATATTTACTCAAAAATTTCATGAGCAAAATGTTCGGAGAACCAGATCGTTGTTGTACATCCCAAAAATGAACTGACATTAACCTGAGGTAAAACTTGGAACAGGAAATATTGACACAAGATGATCAAATAAACAAAAATATGCTTGACATATAAAATTTGATGTTTCCATGCGAATGAGCTCTGTCTACTTGCAAAGTTTACTACGTCATCCAGATACATGCATAATTAATAGCATAGAAGCAACAATTATTCTGTGGGCCTTTTATTAAATCATTTTAATGTTATAATGTACAAGAAAAACTTTTGGCCAGAGGGACTATGTTCATTGGTTTATTATGTACAATCATACTGCTATAGTTCCAAGGTAACTTCATTACATTGTAACAGAATTCTCTGAAAGTATGTTACAGATTTTGAGAAAATTGTCGCAATAGCTGTTTTAAGAACAATTCAGCAGAACACAATGTATTTTTGCATTTTTCAGAACCCATTTTTTACCACCCAGATTTTATAAAATAATTCAGGATACCAAAAATGCTGCATCAGTCACGATATTTCATTTTCCCCCTATGTAACCAGTCTACAATTTGAAATATGCTATAATATTTCCACCATAGTCAATTATAAATGTGTTATAATAACCATAATTTTTTTCAAAAATCAAAGTTTTTTTCAGTCAACATCTTTAAACTGAGAGTACCATTTATTGGGAATTGAATAAATTCTGGGTATTTTCACATTGACTTACAGGATTCACATGTACCGGTACTGCAATATATTTCGGGTGTACATTGCAATAGCTACTGTTGCAGCAACAGATCTTTTGTTGCTCTCCAGAAATCTGAAAAAATAAAAAAAAAAATGAATCAAAAAGCTATATCACATTTTATAATTTGTATGCCACATGAAAATGTACAAGATGCAAAATATGGGTTTTGGAACTCCTTGTATTAGTGAAGTTGATCACATGTTTACTTTCAACCAATCACAATGGATTACTGTTTGTGTCAACTCAAGCGCCATTTAGCGAGTTATTATGTTCAAGACAATGTCCAACATTGTACTATCATGAACAAACAAACCAGTCATGCACTACTAAACCTTTAGTGTCCAACCCCACAAAATGCTCATCAACCTACTTTCCACCAAAGAACACAACATTTTACACATATACGAGCAAAATAATTTATTTATTGTATGTAATATCCTTAAAAAGCCACATAAAACAGTGAGTTACTCCAAAAACAGAGCAAAATGTGAAATTCTTTGTCTCTCATGCCTGTCCTTGGGCATGTGGTTAAGCTCACTTGGGACCCACTGAGCTTGTACCAAAATCACAGCCAAACGGCAAATTATGAGAGGAAGCCATACTCTTGCGCTACACTTTTATAATACTGGAGTTTGGGTTTTTAAAAAATAAAATAGGACCAGGAAATTGTGTTTTTTCAGCTGTTTTTAAGGGGTTTTTTTAAAAACATTTTGGCATAATTTTTCAGACATTTCAATCATTCCTGACGCCTAAAATAGAGTCTAATTCAAGTTTTACCGTAGTCATTGACACCTATTCAAGAGTATGATGTTTATCTTGACTAGTGTGAATGGGTAAGCTTCGTTTTTTTGACAATGAGCTGTTATCACTGTAAACAATGTTAAATTATTCTTCAAATGCTCAGTTTATCTTTTGAAAAGATTTTTAAGAAAAATCATGCCGTTTTCCCTTCAATATCCACATCAAAAATATTGCACTACAACAGGGGCCAATTTCTTCTCTGTTGCGTTCAATTACATTAACATATTTAAATGAGCTATGGTAATTTGAACACGTTGGCATCATCTATCTTTTTAATTGCGATTTGACCTATTAGGTCAAAGAACACCATCCCAGGTCAAAACATGACGGATATTCTCCAGCAGCGAGTGTTTAATATGCGACCAAAATCATTCGCTTACGATGAAACTAAGGTGAAAGTTACTTGCATTTCATAACAATTCAATGAATTTATTTTGTGTACATTATTATAATCACTACTAAGCTACCATGATCATTTGCTACAAAGCAATGAATCTGTGTTCGTTTTTATTAGAACCTTTTTGGAGAATTTACTTATGTTCAAATAAAATTTAAAAATTAAATACATATTGTATTTGGCGTACCTTCTATAAATTAGCCAAGGCTGGTATAAAAGGGAAACTCTTATCATCCCTATTTTCAATGTATACACATGTTCAAGCTGCTGTCAAAACACCAATTGGGGACACAGAATTTTTCAAAATAAACGTAGGTTTGCAACAAGGGTCAGTTATATCACCACTATTATTCTGTTTTTATGTTAACGATATTGAAAATGCACTTTCACAAGGGGTTGAGACTGTTGTATATTCCAATACTTTGAAACTAATGTATTTACTTTATGCAGACGATCTCGCGCTTTTTAGCAGTTCTCCTATTGGTTTACAGCGTTTGTTAGATAGATTGGCTGATTATTGTAGCAGATGGAGATTGAATGTAAATCTGAATAAATCTAAAATTATTGTATTTCGGAAGGGAGGGAGATTAAAACAAGTTGAGAAATGGTTTTGGAAAGGAGGAGAAATAGAAGTTGTCTCAAGATACAATTATCTCGGTGTAATTTTCTGTAGTTCGGGTATCTGGTACCAAGCACAAAAACATATTGTAGATCAGGCAAGGAAAGCTTTATATTCCCTACAAAGTATGCTTTATAAATTTGGGGGATTACAACCAAGTATTGCATTTAAAGTTTTTGATTGTAAAATTCTCCCAGTTCTCTTGTATGGCAGCGCAATTTGGGGAGTCCATAAATGTAATGAAATT